AGCAGGTCTGTGTTCTAATTTAAGAGCAGGCTTAAGCATAAACTCATCTTGTTTCCAGCCTGATACTGGACAGTCCAGCAAGGCCATGTCCCCCCATCCCCATCACAGCAGCCTGGCTCCTCCTGCCTCTCCCCATGCTTGAAGAGACCAAGACTGGCAGAGGTGGGCAGGTCAGCCACAAAGACACTCCTGAGGGGAGACCTAATGGGAAAATGCAGTAAAGGTTGGATGGGGTAGGGATGAGTTTATCTGAGGGTGGTGGACCTGGAGCACAGTCCAGGAGTTTTCCCTTATCAACTTCTTTGCTCTGTGCTTCATTAGTGCAGGTTGCTCGTGGGTCCTCAAAGATACTTCTCCAAAGATGCACAAAGTGCAAGGATTCGAACCAAAACCAACCAAACTGGACTGTGGCATCACTGTGTGGTCTTCCATCCATTCTCAGCCTGTGGTCTTCCATCCCCACAGAGAGGGACATCACATCGCTTCGGTCCTTGAAGGGACAGACTTAGTGTTTTGGGAGCCACAAGGAATGAGGAGGCTGCGAGGCAGAGGAAGGATGGGCAGAAGGACACGCAGAAGGACAGGCAGAGGAAGGACAGGCAGAAGGACAGGCAGAAGAAGGACAGGCAGAAGAAGGACAGGCAGAAGAAGGACAGGCAGAAGAAGGACAGGCAGAAGAAGGACAGGCAGAAGAAGGACAGGCAGAAGAAGGACAGGCAGAAGAAGGACAGGCAGAAGAAGGACAGGCAGAAGAAGGACAGGCAGAAGAAGGACAGGCAGAAGAAGGACAGGCAGAAGAAGGACAGGCAGAAGAAGGACAGGCAGAAGAAGGACAGGCAGAAGAAGGAAGGATAAGAAGAAGGACAAGAAGAAGGACAGGAAGAAGAAGGACAGGCAGAAGAAGGACAGGCAGAGGAAGGACAGGCAGAAGGACAGGCAGAGGAAGGCTGCCACCTGCTGTCCATAGAAACCTCTCCAAGTCCTAAAATGGGACAATATCCAGATCTGCATATGCATATTAAAACACAGGTCCATGCCCCCATGGCGGGAGACCCACCAGGAACTCAACCCAGGTGGAAAGGGGAAGACCACAGAGGGCATTTGGAAAGGGGAGACCATCGCACCCCAATGAGCCAGTGAAAATCACTCATGGACACTGGAGAAAGTGTCCTGTAGGACATTTCTCCAACTCACTCTGACACTGAGAGCCACAAGGAAGAAAACCAAGACGCAACATGACACACACTGCACTGTCTGAGCTGAATTTCTCTTCTCCTGAGCCCCCCACCGCTGTGGAGAGCTCATGTGCTTTCCTGGGCCAAGGGGACATCACAAACAATGTCTTCATGAGCTAATTTGGTGTCATTAATAAATATCCCATCCAAGTGATGGGTAGGAGATCTGGACCTCTCCTCCGGAGGTTGAGCTAATTAATCTCCTACCTTCCTCCTCTGATGTCAGGCTTTCTCTTAAGGCCATTGTTGGCCCTAATTAAAAGAATCTTCAAGATGAGTGTCCCCTGAACACCAGCCATATTTTGACAGTGACAGTAATTACAGAAATCTCTTTGGTAGAACAATAATAATTACCCAACCATGAGCAGAAAGGTCCCAGGAGGAGAAGACAATAAGTGTCAGAGAAATCAGGATTTGGAGCCCTTATCTTTTCTGGTGGCTGGTGTTGGGTGAGAGAGAACCATGGCCCAGCTTCCTAAGACTTCTTTTTCTCTCTCCATTGATCATGCACCTGTGAAAAGGGAACATTGAGTCCCCTGAGCACTGAAGCGCAGAGATTCCTTGGCCAAGATCTCCCCAAATATCTCAAAACTGCCCCAGAAATGCAGCCCGCCATCAATCCTCCAAACAGTCAGCCCTCAAAGGCCCATCTGACCTCCCAGCATCTTCAGGGAGCTGAGGACTTTGCTCCATGTCCACCTGGAGCTGTCAGCACCCTCTCCTCCAGATTCTTTAGATCTGGTTCTTCAGGACGACCCTCAGTTTTGCTCTTCTCAAGCCTTTTTTTCCTTCTCTGGACTGAAGGATTTATAAAAATGAGCCCAGTTCCCAGTTTTGCCCCTGCAAAACTATTGTCCTTTGTCTGACGAGTTCCAGATGTTCCTCCAGCTCCTGGGCTGAGCCTGGATGTCCCATGGGGAAAAAGCATTGACCCAGATCTGCAGCCACCCATGGTGCCTCCTGTCATCCCCAAAATTGAAGACATTATGGTGAATGGCCCAGTTTTGGACCTGACTTTGGGGGATAAAACCAAGTTTGGATCAAAAGTGGTGTCTGTCCAGCTGATGAGCTGGAACTCAAATTTTATGCTGTAGAAAGCAACAGCGAGTGCTTGGGTACCCAAATGCTTCTTCTACATTTTCACTCTTGCTTTTTTCTTATTGTTTTGTTTTGGTTTTTGTTTTTTTTAATTCAAGACAAAGGTGTTCAGAAGGGCAGCCCTCCAGGTAGATAAATCATTTCTCCTCGTGAGATGCGCGGTGGCAATAAGAAGCCATCTCACCTGAGTGGAAGAAACCGATAGGTCACTCCTTTGGTCCAAGAAATGGGAAAAAAAAATTAGAAAAGAGAAGAGAAACAGCAACAATCCTGTAACCCTCCTGGCTGAAGGAACAAGCTGGAGAATACGGCAACAGCCCCACTTAATAAAAAAAAATCCTGTAATGATTCATAATGACCCATCCAACTCAAACCAGGAGTACCGGTGACCTACCCGTCGTCAGCTTCTAGCGTCCTGCTAACAAGCTTTAAAAGCACTGGTGAGGAGTAGAGTTCAGTCACAACCAGCTTGGAGGAGGAAAAGAGGATCTTGCTTTTTAGGAGGAACCATTTAAGAGGTTGGATCTTGCTTTTGAGGAGGAACAGTTGGTTTTGCAGAAGGTAAGTGGCTTTTTCCTTCTTTCTTCGTTACCAAGCTTGGAAGAAATGAAACCAGAGGAATGAAAGTGCTTGGTGATAGGTAACCAAAAATCTGATTTTTTTTTTTTTTTCAGCACATAGAGGGTGGGGTTTATATAATAAATTTTTTATATAATAAATTTTACACCCCCCTGAGCTGTTAAAGCATCCAGCAAAGAGAAGAAAGGGAGAACTTGAATTAATCAACTCTTCTGAAAGCTGTTTTTTGGAGCAGCTCCTGGTGAGGAAAGTTCTCCAGCACTCTGATGATAAACTCAAGATAGAAATATTGTTCCGATATAGAAAGAGGGAGGTTTGTGATAAAGTTTATTGTGATAAATTATATCTTTAGATGATACAGAGCTGTTCTCGCAGCCGTCTGCCTGTGCCTAAGCAACGGGAGACGTGCCGAGAGGTAATTGTGAGGATGCGATTTTCACATGCACCCATCAATACGATGCCAAGATGCCTGGCAAGGAGGTTGTCTCATGGTGGATCCATCCCATGCCATGCTGCCAGGGCTCCCACAGGGGTTGGGGGGTGGTTTCCAGTGTTGATTTCTGGCCGTTTCTATCTTGACTTCTGCCTTCTCCAGAAAGACAAATGCAGATTATCCAGTGGCTGTACCTCTGCGGGCTGGTGTTTGCTGTGCTGATCCCAGCAGGGTGGCAGATGGGCCCCAAGGACTTGGATGACATGGCCAGGTATGGGATGTTGGTGGAGCTGGCCTGGGGAGATGGCCGGCGTGGGCAGGGGCTGTCAGAGCAGCTCAGCCCTCTCTGTTACCGTTGCTGCCGGCTGTCCCAGCTCCAGGCTGTTGCAATGTGCCTGTTTCTGTTGTATTTATCCAGACAAGGTCCCTCCTGTCCCTCTACCAGCCCATGCAGGGACATTGCCATGCCTCCCCCCCCCC